GGTTGAATTCCAGTAAATCCAGCAGTTCAAAGAGTTTCTTGTTTTTCTCGTTCTCTTTTAACTTAACATAAAACTGTTGCAAGCCGTGTAGTGTCAACTTGGCTTCGTCATCGACGTAAACTTCCATAGGCTAAAAAACCAGTATTATTACGTTCAAATTTTCACTATGTTCGCAACGGTTGAAGTCTTACAGACTGGCTACGTACGGTTCGAAGACACGCATTCCAGAGAAGCGTAATTAACAAGCTGACTACTGCTTTCAGCGGCTGATGCAGGTTTTCTTCGTCCAAAGTTCACTGTCCATGTCCGGTATTTGGAGGAAGGTGAAGGAGCACGCCCATGGACAAACCGGAGGGGAAAATCGCTTAGTCTTCTTCCCAATCCTTTCCCGAGGAGGATCATAATTTTTTCAAACCCAGCTTACCACGTGAATTAACCTATATAAGCAGATGGAATACGGGTGGCGGAATTGCTTCACCCACAATTAACATTTTCTGCAGCCCCCTAAAGGTAAACTTCTTTGGAAATTGTCGAGCTTCCAGTAACGCGGTCAGATTTCAGAGAGAAAACATCGTCGCCGTAGCCAATGCGTGATGTTAGTAGACCGGGTATCCATTGCGTTTAAGCAGGATAGTTGACCATTACGAACGAAAATACGGAGTAAACTTCTTACGTCTTGCATAAACTTTTTGCAAACTGGACGAAGCTCTTTACTCAGCGTTGCAGAAAACATCATGACTTGTTTTTCATGAGGAGTCATTTTAAATATTTCTTGAACATCGCGTCGCATATCTAAAATTGCTGTTATTTGGAGATGTAAATTCACTACTTCTGCTAACCCAAATCTCCAAGCATCTTGTCGCATTCGTCCAAAATGAAAAATTTGATGTATTTCAAGATCAGGAGACGATTACGGGCGAGGGCCAGCAGACGACCAGGAGTGCCGACGACAACGTGTGGAGTGTTGTTGCGCAAAATGTCTTCATCTTTCTTAATACTCATGCCACCGAAAAACACGCCCACCTTGACCATGGACATATATTTGCTGAATCTTTCGTATTCCTTGCTGATCTGGAAAGCCAACTCGCGAGTGTGGCACATCACTAGACATTGAATCTAAAATAACAGATTAATGGAAATGAACTGTTTGAAAAAAATAGCGTAAAAATGGTTTACATAAATAAATACAACTCAGAAGGTTTTCTGGCTCTGAAACTATCAACTGCTGCGGACGATTAATTACATTCACGAAACGTCATCAACAACCTACCCCAAATAGGACCGAAACTTCGGTACTGGTCAAACACCGGAATGACCATAGTATCTTTTCCGTTGTGTACAAGTAAACCGTTTTCATGCTACTTTTCCAGAATGACCACGGACTCACGAACGAACTACTCCATGAATTCAGTTTGTAACATATACTGCTGTTTTAATATACCATGCTATTATATACTACCAATTTATGCTACTGCTGCTTTTCTACAAAATTTTTCCCAAGGCTAAGTATTGAATATTGTTCAAATTGTCAGCGACCTGTTTTACCCTAAAGGCTACTGTATCTAAAT